CCCCAAAACCCCAAAACCCCAAAACCCCAAAACCCCTTTTATCGATCATGATGTTGAATTTAGCTTCTACTATGACACTTTTGCTGCTTAATGAGCAAATTCTATAATAACACAAGTGATATCATCAATGGAGCCCATGTGAGTCTTCCATTCTAACTTAGCTTGAGCTCATATTAGTTTTCAAGCCTTATCAAGACACTCTCTTCCTTTCCAAAGAAGCTCTGCAATTTTGGAATGACTTAAAACTTCAAATATCCCGTCACTGGCAATCAATACACCATAGTCCAGGCCAGATATCGTGTGTTTGTCACCTATTTCAGGAGTAGCAATGACTCCAATATCTCTGGCCTGATGGTCGCCAATAGACCTTGTCATTGCAAGTCCTGGCTTATCTTCGTTTTTAAACCAGACTCTTAAAGGGCCGACTCCTTCAAGTCCAGAGCCTGGCTTATTTTGCTCGATTCTGCCTCCATTTTGATAGATACGCCTAGCTTCTCTCTTTTCTTCACAATTATGATCGTTTGTCAAAGCTTGAACTTCAAATTTACACTCTGGATGTTTTATGCATGATTCAGAGATTTTATCGGAGTTTTGGGAATAGTTGTCATCAACTCAAATGTCACCAGATCCTTCTCTGTATAGCTTATGTTCTTTTCGTTGAAGACCGTTTGGACGATTTTTAATCACTTCTTGGTCATAATTAAGCCTGTCAGTGATAGTCTTGAATTTGATAAGCACACTTCTGGAATCTCCGACATTGAATGGGAAGAAAGATCTGCCCTTCATCAAAATTCCTGTAAGAGTAGACCCACTGTGGTAATCATCAACTTTAGTCTTCTTGATTAGCTTGTCAGTAAGAGTTACTGCTTTTTCGATAATTTCTGGGATACTGAGGATTCCTCGATCAAAATACTTTCAAATATTACTTGGAAAATTGAACTTTATGTACTCAGAAACTGATTTGCCATCATCGCCATGTCCGTCACAGACACAGAATAAATGAGTCTGCTCTTGCTCATAGATCAGGCTAGTAGGATCTATAGATTCAGGATCTTCCAGCAAGTCCTGGCAAATTACATAAGAATCTTGGTTGATTTTATACGGATTCCTGAATGAAAATCCAGCCAAAGACTCTACAGCTATATTTTTGACAACTCATCTGCTTACAAGCTTAGATGTTGACTGATATTTCATGGACTTGAGCACCTGGGAAGCCCTAACAGACTTAGACCGAGACTTTCTGACAAAAATCTTTTTCGATTTCCTGGCATAAATATCCCTTGAAATAACTTTCTTTGGCATTTTGAGTTCATCAAAGATGCTGTTTTTGGGAAGGACTTTATTACCTCTATCTTTCATGAACTCATTCTCATTCCTGCTTATCATCTTCTGGGTCTTCTTCAAGAATGGCATTGAAAACTCCTTCTTTACCTTCTGAGTGTGATGGCCAGTAAAAAGTTTGGCATAATACTCAAGCTCGATATCCTTCTGCTGCTTCAAGCAGGAGGATTTTCTCAAGATGTCTCTGATCTTCGTCCGATTGGAGTGTATGTTTTTCATCGAGGACAGGTTGGCTCTAAAACATTGTTTAATTCTTATAATGAAAAAAAAGCAAAAATACTCACCCCTGACTTATGTTGGTGAACCCTGATTCTGCCCATTTCTGTGTATCTAACTCCATCTGTGGCTGGAAGATCAACCTACCAATGGGCTTCTTGTGTGAGCTAATAACTGAATTCTTTGGAACTGTCCTACTAAACAGCTGCTGGCTCTGGCCCAAATCATTGTAGTTCTGTCCGATATATCGATGATTAACTGGAGTTTGCTTAGAAATATCAGAAATTTTGCTAATTTCTACAATATTAAAATTAATGTTATCATACTTTTCTTGGAATTATTCATTCTCAAAGCGTTCTTATTTGAAGTCCTGTTATATGATAGCGGAGCTTGCACATCTGAAGGTGAGCATCAACAATAATTACCTTGAGGTGACAATTTATTTAAATTTTCTCAGTTCAAATTCCTTTAACGTTGATGGAGGAATCCTTCACATTGAGTTTCCTTTAAATTTGTTTTCTATAAAACTTTCTCAGATCATTACTCTACAGCTGAATAGCAATATTTTGAAATAAATTTTACTAAATTTCCACAAAATTAAAAAAATTGGAATCAAATTGTATCTATCAAATATCTAAATAGGCGTGAAACATCATAAAAACTAGAGTTACAATCAATAACAACAATTTTCTAGACAATATAATTCCTATAGGCACACCTCCCAATAAGCTGATCACCAACAGGCTATCACAAAAGCTTGAGATCTCAAGAATAAGCTCCCAAAGCAGCTGAAGTAACTTACCATTATTATTTAAGCCTTCTCTGTACATTATTTTTAATACTCTCCAAATTATAATTATATAAGAGCAGCAACGGGGTTTTGGGGTTTTGGGGTTTTGGGGTTTTGGGG